GAAAGTACTGAAAATCAAAAAATCTTCTTAAGTCTATCACAGAATTGAGGTCACAGGGATAGTAATAGTGATAGAGAATCACAGTTTACTAGAACCAGAAATCATCAATGGAGCCAGCAAATGGTAGGATTACTTAAAAGATAACTGACTATGGTTGGCCTTTGTGAGTTTTATTTCCATGAGTCCATCAGGTTCTTACTATGAACATTAAAGAACAATCCCCTTACACTTCCCTCCCAATAGTGAGAAGGGAAAAGGAACCGTTTTGAGTATGCCCAGAGCATTGTTGTCCTGAACAAATGCTTACCCTTAAAGAAAGCTATTTTATTACAGCCTAACTTACTGTACACAAGGGGAAAAAAAAAAAAAAAAAGGCAGAGAAATGGGGGGGGGGGAAGAAACTGAGGAGCACCTGTGATGTTTACAACCCAGGGGCACTGGCTCACTAAAGAGTGAGACCCAGCCCTGGCTGCTTGGTTCAGGTGGTTGGGTGGTCAAGGCACATACTCAAGTTGCTGGTTTGATCCCTGATCAGGGCATGTCTAGGAGGCAAGCAGATTGATGTTTGTCTTGCTCTCTTTCAAATTCACTAAGTTTATTGTTCTTATTGCCTGCGTTGTGAGGTCAATTCCCAGTAGAGAGCATACAGGAGGCAGCCAATCACTGATTATCTCTCATCATTGATGTTTCTATCTCTCTCTCCCTCTCCTTCCTCAGTCTGAAAACAATAAATAACAATAATTTAAAAAAACCATTAAAATTCATTACACATGCTCCTCTCCCCTCAAAACCCCACTTGCTTTGTTGAAAATCCCATTGCAGATTAAAAAATGTTTAATTTCAATATACATTATAAACATGAGTGACAAATGGTAACAATCTATGATAAGAATAAAGGCCATAGAGTATAAATAAAAGCCAGTGGGCAGGCCATTTAATTATATTGTAATGTAAAAATATTTCATAAAAACCCTGCCTCCACCAAAGCCTGCAAGTTTTACATATAATTTGGATGTACTATCTAGAAAGGATGAAAACTTATAAAGATGATCTTATCAGTATAAAATATATTGTAAACCAGCTTAGCCAAAAGAAGCATTTTGATTGCCTAATTTATCTTTGTAAAGGAGAAGTAAATTTTATAGCTAGTCTCTGTAAACCTCACAGCTGGAACAATCTAACAGCACCTTGCAGTTTCCAGTGATCAAAGTAAGTTACTTTATATACTAAACTAAGAATTTCATAATAGAAATAATGCAACACTTGGGGGTACAGCTATCATGAAATAATTACACCCCTGGGAGATTACAGGCACAAGGCTACATACCCCAGGGGTGTGATTATCCCAGGATAACCACATCCACTGAAATTGCCTTATTGCAAAAATAATCTCTATTCACTGGTGAGACATTATTCAATAGGTGATTTTTTTAAATGAAAAGATTTTTTTAGCTTGAATCAGCAAGTGGATTAGGAAATTGGGCAGTTTGTTTTTCATTGCATTCAAATTCAGAATACAATATCACTATTCTTTGCTTTCCTGTTTGATAGAGTAGTTTTGACTTTGTTTTTGAGAAACCTTTAAGAATTTCTATTAGTGTTAGTTAAATGGTCCTGCTAAATTCAGGTAAAATTTTAAAGGTATTAACTGAACAATACAATTTTAAATAATTTACTTCTATGTATAATTTTTAATTCTTCTAAAACAATTTTCACTTGAAAATTATAAACATAAAATCACTGTTAACATTTTGGGCAATCTCCTTCCTGGTATTTTTCTAAAAGTATCTGTTCATATGCTTACCTAAAGATTTAAAAAGAAACATGAATGGAATCCATATAACTACTTATTTTTTTGGCTAATCCTCATCCAAGGATATATTTCCATTGATTTTTCTTTTTTCTTTTGGGGGAGGGGAGGGGGAGAATGGGAGAGGGAAAGACAGAAACATCCATGTGAGAGAAACACATCAATTGGTTGCCTCCAGCACGTGCCCCAAGCTGGGGAGGATCCTGCAAACAAGGTACATGCCCTTGACTGGAATTGAACCTGGGACCTTTCGGTCCACAGACCAATACTCTAACCAGAGGGTAGAATTGGCTAGGCCACTACAGGCAGTCCTTGGGTTACCTTGGAGATCGTTCCTACGATGCGAAATAACACGACCGTAAGTCGGAACCCACCTACATAAGCACCTGTGTCACTCACATGGAGCACATACACAGCAGTAATGAAGTGAAACAGTAAAAAAACTTAAAAGATAACTCCTGACCTTTACTTGTGATAAATAAATAATAAAAAACATAATTCACATATGTCATCGAAATGAAGGAACTTTTTAAAAAATAAATACTTAAATGGGAGATGGTGATGTAACCATGAAACAACATACGTTGAGTCCGCCGTAACCCAAGGACAGCCTGTACTTTGTTTTTGTTTGTTTTTAATATATTTTATTGATTTTTCACAGAGAGGAAGGGAGAGGGAGAAGAGAGTTAGAAACATTGATGAGAGTGAAACATCAATCTGCTGCCTCCTGCACACCCCCTACTGGGGATGTGCCCCAAACCAAGGTACATGCCCTATACCGGAATCGAACCTGGGATCCTTGAGTCTGCAGGCCAACGCTCTATCCACTGAGCCAAACTGGTTAGGGCTGTACTTTATTTTATGACCTGCTTTTTTCTTTGACCAAATGTTATAAACAATATCAATTATCATTAAGCAGTCTTCATATTATTTTTAATGGCTGCATAGTATACTATTCCATTAATAGCCCATAATTATTCACTTAATATCTTTTCCTTAGGTATTTAGGTTCTCTCTCTTACTATTGGACACAATACTTTACCACAAAATCTCTGGACATATCCTTTTAGGATAACTTTACGACTGTGTAATATTAGTAAACATAATTTAAACAAATAAACAAAAACACTATTTCTCAAATCTTCAATTGTTCTTACATACAACTGAAGCTGATGGCTCTCAACCTTGATAGTACATCAGAAATATATGATATGTCATCTTATGTGGCATTATAGATGGTAAAAATTACTGATTTATTTTTATCATACTTTAGTACTTTGAGATATTCTCAGATATTTACCAACATTTATTCTCAGACTTACATCCCACAGAGTGCTTAAGCCGTTTGCTTAAAATTTCATGGCTACTAAGCAGCAGAGCAGAGGATCAGGCATTTACTAGCCCCATCGCTCCATAGCCTGTGCTCTTCACCGATTAGTACACTGCCTATCTGAATGTACGGCTCCTTCTGTGCGGAAGGCTGTTCCTTCTGCCTAAGACGCCAAATGCTCTTCTGTCAGATCTTGCATAGCTGCTTCTTTCCTGTCACTGAGAGATGGCAGTTTAACATCATTTCCTCAGAGGAGCCCTTCCTCACCGCTTAACCAAAAGTTACTCCCCATTCAGTTCTTATCACAGTATCTAATTTAATTTTATCATAGAACTTAGAAATACTTAATATTTTCTTATTTAGTTTGTATCATTTCCAACACAATGAAAGTAAGGACCTTTTTTGTCTTAATATTGTATTCCTAGAACCTAGAAAAATGCCTGGCACAAAGTAAGTGCTCTACAAATAACTGTTGAATAAGTGAGTTCATTTTAGCCTTACTGATGAACATTTAGGGTTGTTTCTATTATTTCACCACTATAAATATTTGAGCATCTACCTTGCCATTTTCTTATAAATTCCTGGATGTTGAATTTCTAGGTAAAAGGATATGCATGCTTTTAAGGCTTTTGATACATATCATCTCCAATTTATCAATAGTAAATTGAAATGTTAATTTTACCACACTTGCTCCAACACTGGGGGTAAAATTTGTTTAAGTCTTTACCAAATTTGATGGAAAGAAAGATATTACTACTTTTATTTTCATTTTTTTGGTTATTATTATTTTTTTGTTAATCCTCACCTGAGGATATTTTTTTTCTCCATTGATTTTTAGAGAGTGCAAGGGAGGGGGAGAGACAGAGAAAGAAACACTGATGTGAAAGAGACACATTGATTTGTTGCCTCCCACACACACACAGCATCAGGGCTGGAGATGGAGCCTGCAACTGAGGTACGCATCTCTGACCGGAATCAAATCCAGAATCCTTCAGTCTGTGGGCCGATGCTCTAGCCACTGAGCAAAACCAGCTAGGGCCATTTATCTGGTTATTAATACTGTTGAAAATGTTGTCATAGCTTTAATGGCTACCTGAACCCCTCCTTTTGTAAACCATCAATATTTATATCCTTTGAGTTTGTTCATCTTTTAACTTGAAGGAACATTTTATATATTAGGGATATTAATACTAGTACATTAATATTAGTATTTCAATAAAGGTAATACTTTCACTCAAGGGTGGTTACATGTGTTTAAACTTGACAGGAGCAAAAAACTTGAGCATTTTCTACTTCATTCACTTTATTGTGAGAAAGTTTATTTGATTGAAGAATAGTTCTACAGTAAAACCCCACAAGTGGGGTCCAAAAACTTTGATTGCATAAAATGAATGATTGAGTTATTGTAAAGTTAATAAGCATAAATTCATGGCTGAAGAAGAGCCAATCTAGCTTCATTATATCTGAATTCACTATTTTCAATACTCTTAAAAATAGGATAATTAAATAGCACAAGTTCTTTTGTTTGTGGTTAACAGACTTTCTAATATAGACTCAAGAGAAAGCAGGTCTAATCGATTACTAAACAAAGGGCTAAGTCTCAGAAGCAGGATCAAAGATGAGGCCAAGGAACAAAGACAGCTACTATCACTGACCACCCTATCCAAGCCAGGAAACATGCAATTGTAAGGGCACCACAAGGTTGGAGTGAAGGAAAAGATAAGAAAGATGCAGCCCCTTCCAGAAAACAGAATATAACTATTATATATAATAGCGGGTCCCTGTGACTAAAATTAGTGGTAAGAAATATGTGAGCCAATGATTCTTCATATATGACCTACTCCACCCCATATTTATCTGGGGCTTTATTTCTTTTTCTTTTTTTGTTAATCCTCAACGAAGAATATCTTTTCAATTGATTCAATTTTTTCTTTTTTAAGAGAGAGTGGAAGGGAGGGGAGAGACAGAGAGAGAGAGAAACATCAATGTGAGAGAGACAGAATGGTTGGTTGTCCTCCACATGCTCCCTGATTGAGCCTGCAACTGAGGTGGGTGACCTTGACTGGAACTGACCCCTCAACCCTTCAAACCAGTATGGCAAGGCTTTATTTCTTTTGAGATCTCTCACCCTTCTTTCACCAATTGGGTGAGTGGAGGCAGGGGAGCAAGGAGCGTCAGTATGTGGGCTTTAAGATACCTGCATTGTGGCATTCGTGGGATATTCTTTTTGTCAGATGTTCTCTGACCAAGGTCTGTATCAGCATTCTCTCACCACTGAGCAAATAGTTTTCCTTACTTAAAATGTGGCTTCTATCTCGTATTAATAATAGAATAATAAGGATTTTTTAAAAAAACTCAATTATAATATTGTATCTATGTACTTCCTTTACCCATCTGACATCCATAACACCATTAAAGAAATAGCATCAAATTTATCACATTTCTAAACTCCCAATACGAGAACTGGCTTCTTGAATCCTCAGGCCTGCATTTGGTTTGCTGGAAGGAAGCAGGATCTCTAGCTAAAGAACAGAGGCTGAAGGTCATATGTTGAGGGAGGGTGAACCTGGGTTCTGAGGTGGCAGTGGAAGCCACAGGGAGTATAAAGAGGTGCATCAGAGGCCTGGTGAGCTAAGGATGGGGCTTCATGCTCAGAGCATTTGCTTCAATAGAGCCACTCTGCCTTTATCTGTTCTATATACTGGATTTCATATAAGGCATCTTTTTTATTTTTTAAATTTATTTTATTTTATTTTTTAAAATATATTTTATTGATTTTTTACAGAGAGGAAGGGAGAGAGATAGAGTTAGAAACATCAATGAGAGAGAAACATCAATCAGCCGCTTCCTGCACACCCCCTACTGGGGATGTGCCCGCAACCAGGTACATGCCCTTGACCGGAATTAAACTTGAGAACCTTTTTTTTTTTTTTTTTCCATATAAGGCATCTTTTTAAAAAAAATGCTGTATATTCTTGAGTAAGGATACTATCAAATCCTTACTTTAAAATGAAGAGTGGAAGCTCATAAAAGTGAAATGACTTATATAATGTTATAGGGCTAAGCAAGTTAATTTCTATTATAATTTATTATGAGTTATGGTTGGATTAGTGTGGCTGTATCAATAATATCCTAACAAGGCACTGATAATTTAAGTTGAAACTTCTGTTTTAATATCCTTTTATAAAAGAAATCCAAATGACACAAAACAAATTAGACTAATCTTCCTTAAGTAGACAACAATATACAGAAAAGCAAATAAAATTTTTAAGTAAAAACTAATTTTAAAATAGTTAACAGGTTTTTTTTTTTTTTTTTTAAATATATTTTTATTGATTTCAGAGAAGGAGAGGGAGAAAGATAGAAACATCAATGATGAGAGAGAATCACTGATTGACTGCTTCCTGCATGCCCCACACTGGGTATTGAGTCTGCAACCTGGCATGTGCCCTTGACCAGAATTAAACCTGGAACCCTTCAGCCCAAAGGCTGATGCTCTATCCACTGAGCCAAACTGGCTAGAGCTAAACTCAGTTTTGATTTTATCTCTGAACTAAGAGGTGACTGCTGAGGCTTCTACTAATCTACTTTTATAATTTAGGAGGACATAAATATAGAAATATCCATTATTTCCTGCTATATTTAAGTTACTAACCTGATAAACTATGTTTAATGTCTTACACTGGGGCCCTTGGCCAGGAACAATAAATTTAATATACTGCCTTTCAAATTCAGAACACATTATCAGAGTTTCCCATCATATTATGGGATTGTGCCTTAGTCCAAAAAGCCCAACCCAACCCAACCCAATCCAAAGATAAATGTCATTTTATCTTTTCATATTTGTCCTTGGTATACATTCTAAAACAAACAAATAAATTATTCCTAGTGCCTACCTGAGCCATCAGTGGGAACTGAACTTGCATTGATTCCAGAAAGACCAAACAAAGGACATTCTCGATCTGTGTTGACATGACCCCATTTGTGACATTTAATGCACCTCACATTTCGAACCTGAGAAATAGTGAACATTATTTTGGTTATTAAAATATTAAGAACAAATCAACATTTGGCTCTCTACTCTTTGGTAGATTTTAAATTAAATTATTCTAATTTTTAAAAGATTTCCAGAGAAAGAGACTCCATAACTATATTTTATAGTCATATCTAATAAAAGTAATATGCAAATTGACCATCACTCCAACACACAAGATGGCTGTCCCCATGTGGTCAAAGATGGCTGGTCCCATGTGGACACAAGATGGCCGCCACAGATGGCCAGCAGGGGAGGGCAGTTGGGAGGGACTAGGCCTGTAGGGGAGAGCAGTTGAGGGGGACCAGGCCTGCAGGGGAGGGCAGTTAGGGATGACTAAGCCTACAGGGGAGTGCAGTTAGGGGCAAACAGGCCGGCAAGGAAGTAGACATCAATCAGGCTGGAAGGGGAGTGAATAGGAGGTGACCAGGCTGGCAGGCAGAAGCAGTTAGGGGCAATCAGGAAGGCAGGCAAGTGGGTAGTTGGGAGCTAGCAGTCCTGGATTGTGAGAGGGATGTCCGACTGCCCGTTTAGGCCTGGTAGGGATCCCATTGGAAAGAGTAAAGGCTGGGCTGAGAGACACACCCCAGGTGTACAAATTTTGGGGCCTCTAGTACTATATAAAAGGCTAATATGCAAATCGACCGGATGGCAGAATGATTGATTACTATGATGTGCACTGACCATCAGGGGCAGACAATCAAAGCAGGAGCTGCTTCCCTGGTGGTCAGTGCATTCCCACAGGGGGAGTGCTACTCAGCCAGAAGCTGCTCATGGCTGGCAAGCACAGCGGCAATGGCAGGAGCTTCTCCTGCCTCCGGGCCAGCGCTAAGGATGTCTGACTGCTAGCTTAGGCCAGCTCCCTGCAGGGGAGCGGGCTTAAGCCGTCAGTCAAACATCCCCAAGGGCTCCTGGACTGCGAGAGGGCACAGGCTGGGCTGAGGGACCCCCGAGTGCACAAATTTCAAGCACCAGGCCTCTAGTTTAATCAATGTCATCCTAAAAGAATGGTAAAATTCCAAAAAATAATTATGTCATGGCTTAATTTTAAATTTTCAAATTTTGAGCTAATTCTCCAAATTCCTTGAAAACTGCAGAGACCATTGTCATTATAAGTCTCACTATAAAACTTTGATTTCTATCTTTCATCAATCTATTACATTTATCATTTTCTCTTCTAGACCTTCTATCTTCTGATACAAATGGAAACCAGAGAACTCCTTTTCAGCTTAAATACTTTTTGGATCACAACATTAAGTATTTATTAAATAAAAATTATTCTTACAGAATAAAATCTATGTCACTTGCCTGAATACCAAAGGGCTGATCTCGGATGTTCATGTCATCTTTGGCATACCTATTAAGTAGAGAAAAATGTGCAAAAACAATATTAATAATTTAATAAACAGCAGTTATTCTGAAAAAGTTTTATAGTTCTAAATATAGTATAAAATGTAATAGTTTATATAGAACTATAAAATCTATTTAGTATTTCCAAGCACCACTTAGTTTTTAAGTGTCCAGTCTAATTAAAAAAGAAAAAAGAAAAAATAAAACAGAAAAAAACTAAAGACTATAATCAAGCAAATTAATTGTATAAGACAAATCACTGAAAATACTTTTTCATATTATCATAATAGATACCTTTAGTGAATGAAAAAAAGAACACAAGATGGGTTATCAGATAAATTTAATATGTATTTTATCTTAAAAGAAAACCAGTTCTTACTTTTCTCGTGGTGCTCCTTTCTGCCATTCAAATTTGTATTCAGTCTCTCCTTCTGTTTCTTCTTTCTAAAAACATTCATGAAAGTCTTTCAATTTTTCTTAAAATTATAATTTAATGCAAGTAAATTCAAGCATAGTAAATAGTACTTTACCTCTTTATTTTCTTGATTGCATATCAAAAATATGGAGGAAAAAGGTAGATCAAGTTAAAAACTTCAAAAAAGTCTATCATATACTATACTATGATATGGCATTTAATTGTAACATGTAAGAATTTATTGGTTTGACATGTCTTCTTTCATAAGATAAAATTCGAAATCACTAAAGGATAAAAACAGTATTAAGTAAGAGATCATATTTAATAGGCATGTAATCTCAATATTTAAACTTTAATGTTTTTCATTGACAGTGAATATTATGCTTTCTATTTACAAGTACATTCAGTAAGAAGGACTAAAGTTATATACATAAATTATAAAAGAATAAACAAACTTCTGCTGATGTTAAGATTTTTTTTCCTCCCCAAAGGACGAGTCATGAAACATAACTAGATTATAGACAAATATTTTTAGTATTTATTCTATTGATTACAGCATTTATATAATAGCCATTTTAAAAGATAAAGAGCAACTTTTATAACAGTTCTCAAACTTTTAGTTGCAAACATATCAAAGACTTAAAAAAAGAAATTAGATGAGTACCTTTTTTAGCTCCTGGTGGGGCCTCATACATGAAATTAAGGCCATTCTTTACACGTTCATCTCCCATAAGCAATCTAAATAAAAATAAGACATAAAGGTAACAATTTTATGTAGGAGGAAAAAGTTACAGAATAACTGTCCCTCAACCTCTAAAATTCTAAGGGAATTAAAGTATTGTTGTTATAGTTTCAAAACTTTACTCCATTCATTAAATGAAATCTGAGTCTATATCTATGAGGCTATACTGATAAAAATAAATGAAGAAATGAGAGAAAGGGAAAAGAAATTCAAATTAAAAAATATAGCGGGCTCTAACTGGTTTGGCTTTGTGGATAGAGCACTGGCCTATGGACTGAAGGGTTTCAGGTTGAAATCCAGCCAAGGGCACATGCCAGGGCTGTGGCCTCGATCCCCAGTAGGAGGCGTGCAGGAGGCAGCTGATCAATGATTCTCATCCTTGACGTTTCTCTCCCTCCCTCCCTCTCCCATCTGAAATCAATTAAAAAAATATAGAGAGGGAAGAAGAGAAATAGAAAATCACTGTTAGAAAACCACAGTAATAATTGATGTGGGTGAGATCCACCAATGAATGCTAAAAGTAGTGGGCAAAAGTTCCAAGAAAAACAGGATATTTGCATAGCTTCAAATATTTATTAAGTACCAAGAAAAAAAAGTAACTGTTTTTTAAAGATAAAGAATAACCACACTATGATCTGCTGTAAACCTACTTTTCTACCCACACTCTTTTGATTGGTCTAACTCAATTATTGACTGTTTCCTGAACACCCTTTCTGCTTTCTCATTAATAAGATTTTAACGAAATATTTAACACTCAAACACTCAGTAGTTTGAGTGTTAAACTTTTATTGCTCTTCTAAGCTTTGTCTAAGTTGGAACTTGATCTTAGGCTATGTATACTAGTACTCATATCAATATATTTTATGTGAATTATGGGTAACTAGCCATCTACAAATATAAGAGTAAAGATAGTTCAGAGGAAATAGAATCCTATCATTAAGACATTCAATTAAAAAAGGCTAACTTAATACACGATTCAGTAAGGGGTCATTTTCATGCAATTGATTATTCTAAAATCACCAGCATAGCCCTGGCTGGGTGGTTCAGCAGGCTGGAGCATCGTCTTATACACCAAAAGGTTGCAGGTTCGATCCCTGGTTGGAGCACATAAGGGAGGCAACCGAACCATGTTTCTCTGTCACATCGATGTGTCTTTCTCTCCCCACTACTTTCTCTCTCTCTAAAAATCAATAAAAATATATCCTTGGGTAAGGATTTTTAAAAATAATAAAATTTAGAAAATAAATAAAATCATCAGTATAATGGAATTTCTTACCTATTATCATATGATTCTTGTTCTTTAAGATATTGTTGCATTAGTTCTTCTTGTTTCTTCTTATCATACGATATTTTTTGTTCTGCCATCCATACCTAATTAATAAAGTAAAAAATTTAAAATAGGACGTGTGCTTTTCTTTTATAATAAAATATCAAATGCTATTATGTATAGTTTACAACATAATCTACTTTGGTCATAATGACACCATTACAAAGTAACAGCTGAAAAGTCTGATATGTATCTTCGGGTAAATTCTTAAATACAACAGTCTAAAAAAACTAAAATTCAAGCAAAAATGTCAAACTTGAGAACTACTCTGAGCACCTGAAACAACAGCTTTTTTTGCACCCGGTCCCTGTGTTATTTCAGAGAGAATATCCATCTCTCTACATGTAATATGTCTAGATTAGAAAACACACAAGTACAACCAGGAGGATCAAACAATGCACAGGGGTGCCACAAATACCTAAAGAGAGGAAAAATGGAGGACAAAGAAGAGGAAAAAAAGGAAATTAAGTATTATTCTGATGACTATGTAGAGAACAGATTTGAAAGGAGTCAAGACTGGAGGCAGAAAAGACAGTTAGGAAACATAACAGTCCAGGTGAAAGATAATGAGAGTTTAAGCTAAGATACAGGCAGTAGTGACAAAGAGGAGAGAAGGATTCAAAGGATAATGGGGAGGTAAGACCAATAGAATTTATTTGCTGTCTAGATAAAGGGGTAATGGGAAAGGGATGAATCTCGAATTCCTGACTTGGATGACTGGGTGAAGGATATTTCCTACTCATTTGAGATAGGAAGTATAAAAAGAAGAGTAGATTTTGAATGAAAGATAAGTTCCATTTCAGATATGTTGAGTTTGAGATGTTTGTAGGATATCTAGGTGAAATTGTTAAGTATAAAGTTGTTTTGAGGTGCCTCGAGATGGAGGAGACCTGGGGCTAGAAATGTGAGTCATGAGTGAAGAGGGGGTAGTTACTAATAAAATATGAATTTGGATGTGACTGCTTGGGAGAGCATATAGAGTAAGCAAGGCATAGGCCAAGAATGCAACTCTGTATTTGGGAGCAGCCTAAGAATATGTGTAGGGAAAATTAATTTTATTGAGCACTCCAAAATGGTGGGCAAACACAGTGCGAGGTGGTACGTTGTTTCAAAGCCTTTACCTAAACCATCTTATTTAATCCTCATACCAATTTTACAAGTTAAAGCAATTGATAATGATCACTCCTAATTTATAGATTAGAAGACTGGAATGAGGGAACTACTAGTTTTTTGTGCAAGGTATCAGAGCTAATAGTGACTGGGCTGGAATAACTAGAATCTAGATCTGATTCCAATGCCCAGACTCTCTTTACTGCTCATAGACATGTAATTGATTACTAAAACGCCAAACTTCACCGAGGTCATCAGAGTGATAATACATTATCGTGTAGGATAAAGAGAGGAAGCAAGGGGCTGACTTTATTTCCATGTTAAGATCTACTTTTTCTTAAATAAATAGTAAGTTTTCTTTGTACAGTTTAGCAGCGCTCCGAAACTACGATCCTGGGATTAGAAAAGGCAAATTCAGAATCTCCCGAGAGAAGGAATGAGGAACTCTATTATCAGTCTTCAGATCGTATGAATTTACATTCTTGCTGACAGAACTGACCAGGACGCCTAAAAACTCGAGGGCTAGGGGGGTGAAGGGGCAAGAACACGAGAGCTTTAGGCCTGGATGAGAGGCGACTGTCCCAGGGATCCAAGAGAGACACCACCACTCCCATTTCCTACACCCCCAGGGAACCCAGTCCCAGGGCTAGCACCCTCCGGGGCTCCCCTTACTCACTTTCTTGATGTTGGACTTGGAGGCGGGATGAAAGTCCTTTTTGCACATGAAATTGGCGAAGGACTTCCCCATCTTGGAGGCTGAGCTGGAGAAAGCAGCCGCTAGGTCTGAGAGAGCAACGTAAACAAACTCTGCCGCCTAACCGGAACTGCGCTTCCCTCCGCACCGGGCACTTCCGGGGTCAAAGGTGACGGCTTCCGGCAACTAATGCCTCTCCCTGACACGGAGCGCCCCCTCCCCTTTTCACCTAGCCGGGAGGCCAGGTGAGGGGCGTGCAGGGTGGAGGAGCGTGCGTAGCGGAAGTGGGAAGTGGGGGGACGGAGAAGGGGGCTGGGTGGGGTCCCGGGCCGCGGGGGCCCCGAGCACAGCTGCGCCGCCCCAGTCTCATCGCCCGCGTTGGGGCGCGGAGAGCGCCGTATGCGGCGGTTCTGCTGCGAGACGCGTTTGAAGTTCGAGCTCTGGACCCTGGGAACGCTGACTCGTGTTAAACTTTTTTTTGCACCGATTTTTCTCTTCACGGGAACAGTAATTCTCACAATAGGTAGCCCGTTTGTGAGGAGGTTTCTGAAAGCAGTTGGTGAACGAAGGCATATGAAAAAGGGTGTCAGCGCTACCAGAGCGAGGACTGTTTGGTCGCCACCGTGGTGCGGAAAGATGCTCAGCAAACCTCTGTTGAATGATGATTACACACTAGGTGTTAGTAAGCCTCTGCGGCTTCCCCTCGCCATGGGCTAGGTGCCTTGCTAACGGGGCGGCTTGTTTCCTTAGCTTCCCGCACAACCCCTTAGCTCAGAGCACAACCCCTTAGCTCAGATCTATCGATAGCGCAGCTGTAGGGCCTGGAAACTCCAGGGGTTTGAGTGGGCGTGGCTGCTACAGGGGAGCCCCCAACCAACTTCTTGAGGGCGTGTGTGTGTGTGTGTGTGTGTGTGTGTGTGTGTGTGTGTGTGTGTGATGCCTTCTGTGAGAAATGTACTCGTTTGCCAAGTGAAAACAGCAGCTTTCATTTGAGTGTCTTCTGCGTTGTATGCACGGTGCAAAACACTTGACACTCTGTCTTATTAATTTCTCATGCTAGCCCTCTGACGTACTTACCAATGAGGCAGGAGGCCTGAGAGAAATAAACTGCTTTGGAACACGAAGGCCACCAAGGAATTAAGGTCGAAAGACACACCAAAAAGAACAGAAGCAATTGGGACCTCTCTCTTCCCATCACGGAGGAAAAGAGGAAAACTCGGGAGTTTAAGGTCTCTGAAGTTTTTTCTTATTTGAATCATTTTATCTTCTTTTTAATGAAACATTTATTAGATTTAAATGTTGTTTTTAAGAAGCCTGCATAAAACTGTTTTACGATTTGGACATTACACAGTAAAGGAAAGAAGGAAACTACAATATAAAACAATGGGTTCATTTTGGAAGCAAAGTATGAGACAAGTATTCTGCTAAAATTTAGGATTTTAAGACTTTTTCCGAATTGCAAATGAAGAAATAATCTTGATATTAAATTCTACAATGAGGGTCTACAAGTTATGGATGTGACCTTCTTCCTGGAAATATCAACAATTTGAAAATATTTTTTTTTGTGTCTGATTCAGCAAGTCTGTTTCAAAATGTCAGTCTTATTAGTATTTTAATCTGTGTATATTCTTCACTCAAAGGAGACCCTTCCTCCTTCCTTTGAGGAAATAGTGGGTACACAGTGCTGAGATGTTTCTATAATTTCTGATGATAAGAATACAAAGATTAATAAGACATGCTCTCAGTCCCCCAGGATCTCATAGTCCAATAAAGAAACTCATGCATGTACATAAATATAGTAAAATAAGGTCTTTACAACAGAAGAATTAGGGATTCCCAAGTATGGAAATAGCTAAAGATGACTCCGGGAAGACTTCAGGAGTAAAAGATTCTAGAGGGTAAATCTGACTGATAGATTAGAAGAAGGTACATGTCATTGCCATTTTCTTATTGGTTCTTGTACCATAAGATTCATTCCCAAGTCGTTTTCTAACTACAGTACATGAAGTTTAAAACTTCAATGAACAGCTCTTATTAGATATGGCAATAGTATCCCTTGGTCACTAAGTAAAATTTTCTGTTTTGTATATACTTAAAAACACTTTTCTCCTTTTATTTTGAATCTTCTATATGATTTTCAGTTAAAAAAAAAAAATGGAACCTTGTTCCTGTGACACTTTTGTGGCATTACCTCCAGCAACAGTTGAAAATAGGATTATTTTTGGAAAAAATTCAGATAGACCCTGTGATGAAGTACAAGAGGTAATTTATTTTCCTGCTGCAGTTCACGATAACCTGAGAGGACATCTTAAGGTGGGTGAAATACATATTTTGATTAAAATTTTAAAATTAAAATTTTAAATTAAAAAATTTTAAATATCATAAACAGCATTTTTCTATCATAAGCTAGCTATTTGGCAGATACTATAGAAGTTAAAAATTCCAGAATTGAAATTTGAAAAGTAATTTGAATCAAAAGTAGACTGCTGGTCCTTTATTTTGTGATTTGCAGGAAGCTGAAAAAAAATAATAATTATTATTAATTTTATTGAATGCTTACTGTATGTAAACCTGTTAAATATGGCAGGGATTTAAAACCTGGCTGGTGTTGCTCAGTTGGTTGACCTTTCATCTTGTATACTGAAAAGTCACCAGATTGATTCTCTGTCAGGGCACATACCTAGGTTGTGGGTTCAATTCCCCGGACAGGGTGTGTGCAGGCGGCAACCAATCAATGTTTCTCTTTCACATCTCTCTCTAAAGTCAATTTAAAAAAAGAAGGTTTAAAATCCTGCTGTCAAGCTTAGGGTTTAGTAGAGGAATTGGATGTGTATGCTGTTAGCTAACCCCATTATTAGGTATGATGGTTTAGATATAAAATATAAGAGCAGTAAGCTGGGACAGCAGTGGAGAAAGAACAATTAATTCAGTCTAGGGATGAAGGAAGGTTTCCCTAGGAGTTGGGGTTTCAGCTGGAGTTTGATGGACAACAAGGATTCTGGTTGGTGAAGAATAAGAAAAGTCATTCAGATTCTGGAATAACAGTTTTCCTACCTGGGAATAAAATTTTTATTGGCCCAGTGATAACACTAGCAACATGAATTTTGTATAGTCATTTGGTAGAATACACATTAATTAAAGGGTTCTTTAAAAATTTTAATAAAAAAAAAACTATTCAGCATGGAACTTTAAAAGTTTTACATTGTGCTTTAATTGTTATCAATTTTTAGAGTTTATTGATATTCTAATACTAAAATATATTAAATGGTAGATGTATTCTGTATACTAGTCCAGTTTTTTTTTTGTTATGACTATTTACTAATTTTGGGTCCATTTCCACTTTTATCTCTTCATAGTTAAGTCTAGCCTATCCTGTAAACTAGTGGTTCTCATTCTTTTCACTGCTGTGGACATGGTAGATGGGTGGACTTCTATGGCAATACCCTGTGTATAAGGACTACCATACGGGACTTACATCACTAACCAAGAAAGACTGTACATTAAGATTGAAAACAGCTTCCTTAAGCTTCAAATCACATACATTCTCCTTCACAAAATATTTAAAGTTTTCACAATTAGAAACTGTCTCTCCTGAGCTTCTGTAGCTCCTCATCTTCATTTTTCTTAATGGCCCCCTATATTTTGTTATACCTTAGTTAATGTCTTAGTTTCTTGAAAGCAAAACCTGTAACTGATGCATTTCTTAGCAGAGTGCTTTAAAATAGAATATGCTCAGCAAGTATTTGATGTTTTAAAAAATACATTTTTGTTGATTTCAGAGAAGAAGAAAAGAGAGAGATAGAAACATTAGTGATGAGAGACAATCATTGATTGGCTGCCTCCTCCTAGGGATTGACCCTGCACCCAGGATGTGTCCTTGACCAGAAGTAAACCTGGGACCCTTTGGTCCGCAGGCCGATGCTGTATTCACTGAGCCAAACTGGCTAGGGCTCAGCAAGTATTTGAATGAATGAATGCGTCAGGGTCAATTCTAAATATGTTTTATGGGTAATGCCATATTAGTTTCAATTTAATTATTCCAATTTAGTTATACTTCATTTATCTCATGGTTGTATTTTCTGGTTGATTTTTAAGATCCTGGACTTGGATAACTTATTTTTTTTGGTTTAATGGTTGTTGCTACGACTTTCTTTACAGTGTACTTACATAGAAATTGATCAAGTTCCTGAAACATATGCTGTTGTTCTCAGTCGCCCAGCTTGGTTGTGGGGTGCAGAAATGGGAGCCAATGAACATGGAGTTTGCATTGGGAATGAAGCTGTTTGGGGAAGAGAAGAAGTTTGTGATGAAGAGGCGCTACTGGGCATGGACCTTGTCAGGTTAATTTTTCTGTTGTATTTTTTGAACTATAGAACTTGTCTAAAATTTAAATTTTGGTATAACGCTTACAAATTTTGTTTTTCTATTTTTTTCTTTTGTTTGGACTTTGATACTTTATAGTGTGTGCCGACATGCTTTAAAGTACGAGCATGTAGTGTAAAGACCCTCATATACCATTAATTGGGAGAGGCTAAGAATTGATAATCATGATTTATTGGAAGTATCTAACATATTTTACCAGACCATAACTAGTCCTCACAATAACTTTAGATGAGATACCTGAAGATCAGAGATCAAGTAACTTACCAATAAATTACCAACTTGGGCCGAGACCGGTTTGGCTCAATGGATAGAGCGTCGGCTTGGGGACTGAAAGGTCCCGGGTTTGATTCCGGTCAAGGGCATGTACCTTGGTTGTGGGCATATCCCCAGTAGGGGGTGTGCAAGAGGCGGCTGATTGATGACTCTCTCTCATCGATGTTTCTAACTCTCTATCTCTCTCCCTTCCTCTCTGTACAAAATCAATAAAATATATTTTAAATTACCAACTTGGGATTTCAACATTATTCTGTTTGACTCTGAAAATCATTGTTTTCAATTCCAAACTGGCTTTAGGAGGAATAGTTTTGAAGTTGGATTTCAGTTTATCTGTTAACTTGAAGTAATTTTTATTTGAATACAACCACAAAATCTCATGTGCATAAAATTATTTAAGCAAAACAATGGAAATTTATTTTAACCCGAGAACTGTAATATTTTTATTTTAGACTTGGCCTTGAAAGAGCTGATACAGCTGAAAAAGCTCTTGACATCATTGTTGATTTATTAGAAAAATACGGCCAAGGTGGAAATTGTTCAGAGGATGGTGTGACATTTAGCTATCACAACAGTTTCCTGATAGCTGATAGGAAGGAAGCCTGGATTCTGGAGACTGCAGGGAAGTACTGGGCAGCAGAAAAAGTACAAGGTATGGATAATTTTTTCTCATTTGTTTTATAATTAATAAATACTCCCTTAATTGCAGAAGTTGCATGTAATTGTCTTTCAAGATTTATAAATCAGTGCAATGAAGGTTGATCTACAGGAGAAATGAAACAGTTTTAAAGAACACACAATGAAAGAGCACTACAAAGAGCTTTCTTGAAGGGGAGAAACAGTGATGTTATTCTTTTCATAGATGTACTATAAATTTTAAATAATTTATATATTTTCTCTATAATAGCTCTTGGCTGTTTTATAATGTTTTCTACTTTTTAAGAAATATATTTTATTGATTTTTTTACAGAGAAAAAGGGAAAGAGATAGAGAGTTAGAAACATGGGAGACAAGTGAGTGTGGCTATAGAAGGGCAACTTGAGTGATCTTTTTGGTGATGAAAATATTCTACATTTTGACTTTATCAGTACCAGTATTTTGGTTGTAATATTATACAAAAAGTTACATTGTGGGGAACTGGGTAAAGTATACACAGGATCTGTCTATTGTGACAATTGCATGTGAATCTATATCTCAAAATGAAAAGTTTAATTTAAAAAGCAATTTATCTTTTTGAGTATTTAATAGATGCATATGGTACAAATTTTGAAGACTATATTTACATTTAAATTGTGATTGTGATTCATAATTTACAGATAGCTACATTACATTAAATATCGCTCTTTTTCTCCCTTTACCTCTTCTTCTTTGAAAAAAGAGGGAGTTCGTAATATTTCTAATCAGCTTTCTATAACGACCAAGATTGATCGGGAACACCCAGACATGAGAAACTATGCTAAGCAGAAAGGTTGGTGGGATGGTAAAAAGGAGTTTGATTTTGCAGCAACATATTCTTATATTGACACAACCAAGATGACAATTTCACCAGGCAGATACTGTGAAGGCTACAAACTTCTGAATAAACACAAAGGTAATTTTATCATTTAAATAATATCAAAATGAAAAATTATAATTTTGTGTTGGTATATTATGGGTATAATAAAATATTTTTTGAGGAATTATTCCTGGTAAAGATGTAATTTTATTAAACTAAAAACATTGTGATATTATAAGCTATTTTTTAAGATCAGTGAAGCACTGTATATAGTAGGTCCTCGGGTTACGTTAGAGATCCATTCTTATGGCCCAAGGTAACACGATTTTCACGTAAGTCGGAACCCACCTTCATAAGGACCTATATCACTCACATGGAGCACTTACACAGCAGTTATGAAGTGAAACAGTAAAAAAAAAATTTGAGTGGTAACAATTCCTGACCTTTACTTGTGGTAAATAAATAATAAAAAAACATAAAGTACATACGTTGAAATGACAGAACTTTTTTTTTTTTTTTTTTTTTAATAAATACATGGGAAATGGCCGAGTAACCACGAAACAATGTGTTGAGTCCGTCATACCTGAGGACTGCCTGGATAGCTAAGTTCAAACATAAGAAGAGGAAATCACTAGGTACCAAAAATGAGGGGAGAACCCAATATGTTAGCAAGATTTGACATGTCTTATTCCCATACAGCATTCTTCCTCTCTGTGTCAAAGGTAGGGATTCTGCACCAGGTATAAGCCTTAGAGGCTAGTTTTAACATTCATGAGAATGTAGGTGTGTAAGTGAAAGACCCATTTGGAGAGCAGGAACTGGACTCCTTACCAAAATTACAGTATGAAAAATGCTACTCTGCTCCCTACCCAGAGTTCTAGCCTGGAATTGTGCTGTCTGCTATCTCAGACTTTGGCTCAACAAGTCTCTTGTGAGCTACATATATTTTTGTAGGCACATCAGGGGCTACCTGTGCTATCCTGAGAAACAAACACTGGTTTGGAAGCGGTAAACTGCACAGGTTTCCAGCATACCTATATCTCTATATTCTCTATGAGAATATTTGATATAACAAATATTTAGTTTTTTCTCAGATTTTCCACCCAAATAGTAAATCTGCTATAATGAATCTGTATATAGCTGCCATTGAAAACATTTAAGTTTCATGGGTATTTAGATGAATGGTTGTAATTTCTATATTTTACTATGGATAATTTCTGTTGTTGTGTCCTGAAGTTAACTGATATATTCATCTGCATTATCTAACCTGCTATAAATCTCATGTGGTGACATTTTAATTTCAGATATTGTAGTTTTCATCTCTACTTGTTTTATTTGGTTCTTTTTATATATCTCCCATTACTTTATTCATTATCTTCGTTTTTCTTGAAATCTTTGAACATATTCAGCATATTTATAATAGCTGTTTTAGCATATTGGTCTGCAAACTCCATTATCTCTGTAATTTATTGGTCTGTTTCTGTTTTTGTTTTTCTTCTGGTTTTGGGTCACATTTTCATGCTTATTCTTATATCGAGTTTAAAAAAAATATTCTTTTTTTAAAAATATTTTTTATTTATTTTATTGATTTTGTACAGAGAGGAAGGGAGAGAGATAGAGAGCTAGAAACATCGATGAGAGAGAGTCATCGATCAGCTGCCTCTTGCACACCCCCTACTGGGGATATGCCTGCAACCAAGGTACATGCCCTTGACCAGAATCGAACCCGGGTCCCTTCAGTGCCCAAGCCGACGCTCTATCCATTGAGCCAAACCGGTTTTGGCTAAAAAAAATATTCTTTATTGATTTTTAAATAGAGAAAGGAAAGGAGAGGGAGAGAAACACTGATACAAGAGCAAAACCTTGATCTGTTATTTCCTGCATGTCCCCTACCGGGGATTGAACCTGCAGCCTGGGCATGTGCTCTGACTGGGAATTGAACCCCAAACCTTTCCATGCCTGGAATGAAACCCAACCTATTGAGTGATACCAACCAGGGCAGAAGTAAGTCTTGATTTAGCAGACAGTTTGTTCTCAACCTCCTAACTTTATCCCCTAGTCAGCAGTTCAAATTTCAGTTCAGTTCTTTTATTTTTAGCTGATGTGCCCTGCACAGATCAGATGAGATGTGGACAGAGTTTTTTACACAGAATTTTGTGGTTCCTCTTTTTACTTTCACCTTTATGGTATTCCCCCTTCACTTCCTAGGGCCTATGGCTGACTTCTGGTTCTTCAGGCCAGAAAGACTGTTTTCTATGGCTACTGCCCAGCACTGCACAGCACTGACTGTGGGCTAAAGCCGTAACAGAAAAGGGAAACACCCTGTGCATTATCTCATCTTCCAAATGTCACCTCCCCTCCAGAATTTTTCTGTTTTTGTTTGCTCTGAAGAGCCTTTGGGTAGTTGTTTTTGTGCATTTTATTCTGAGTGTATAGTTATTTGAGGGAGGGCTGGTCTAGTGGGAGCTTACTCAGCCAAATTAGAACAGGACTCTTTCCCATGCCATTTAATATTCTATGGCATTCTTTTACTTGTAAAAATAAATATATGCACATGATTAAAAAAGAGTATGCAGTGAAATCTCTGCCTCCTACCCTGTCCCTAGATATCAGTTCTTTTCCCAGAGGCGATTCCGTATTATTCTTCTAGAGATGATGTATGCTTAATGAAACAAATATGTTTATACATTCTTTTCCCTCTCAGTTTTTTTACAGACACAGTAGCATGCCCCACACTTTTATGCACATCACTTTTCTTTAGCAATATATAATGTAGCTTTTTCTATTTTAATACATACAGAACTTTAATTTTTAGACAGATGTACAGTATTCTATTATTTTGATATGTTGTTTATCTCCATATGGTTGCATTTTAACTATTGTATAGTAAATATTGATTTATAAATCATATTTTAGTTTAAAAAGTTCCTGTTATTTAGGTTGTTTTCACTTTTTCATTACTGGAAATTTATAGCTTATACTAGTGGCACAGTGCATGAAATTTTTGTACATTAAAAGGGAATTGATTAGAGGAAATATTTTAATATTGTTATTTGCCCTTTCTCTGTAATAGAAGTGTTAGAGATGAAAGAAAATTAGTAAAATGTGCATGAAAATCTTCCTCCTGTTAGAGTCTGGGCACATCATGGGAACGAGTTAAGTCCCTGCCCACCCATGTGCGTCTTGAAATCGCGCCAGACCTCCCGAGGTTCCTCCCACTGGCAAGATGGCCCTGATGGGCCCTGATTGTCAGCCAGGCTGAGGGACCCACCCATGCATGAATTTGGGCACTGGGCCTTTAGTTAATATACATTTTCCCATTTTTACATTCCGTTACTACTGACTCTTAAAAAATAATTTCAATAATTTATTTGTTCCTTTCTTACCTAATAATTCCAGAAAAATAACTTTTATTTAAGAAGATTGCTAGGTGGCAGATAACTGCTAAAAGGGTTAGTTCACTGATGAGAAAATGTGATATATCCTCCTTCACTTGAAGGATAAACCTGTTCTATAAATCAATCAGAAAGCAACTACTCAGGGATAGATCAGTCAGAGATTGATAGTTGCTTTCCAGAAATTAAACAAATTAATGATATGTTAGTTATTTGGTATGACAGAAAAAAATTTGTGACAGAATGTTTTCAGAATGCTTTAGCATAATTATTTTTAAAGTATTTAATATCTTATATTTTAATTTCCAGAAGAATGTCTTATCATTTGAAAAGTTTTCTATAAAGTTTCTAAATGTTAGCTTATCATTTTATATGTAAGTTATATAAACTACTTTTTCTCATGTAGATAGCTGTGTAGAAAATGCTAAAATATGTTACTCTAATTCTAATTTTAAATTTATTATTGTAAAAGTAGAGACAGGCATGGCAGTTGCAGCAACACCTACTTACATTTGTTAAAAACATATCAAGGGCTAGACACTGTGCTAAATGAATACATTATCACCTTTAAGCAATTGTGTGAAGTAGGTATTATTGTCATTTTACAAATTATGAAACTGTGATCTTTATTTATCTCCCTATGAAACTTTAAAAAAAATGGACTCTTTCTGGTCCTTATATTCCTCTCAGCACCTAGTCTTGCACTAGTATATTGTGTGTACTTAATGTCTTGATTAAATTTTAAAAGGATTTAATTAAATTATAATTTGTAGATTGTTTAACAAAGATTACTGTTGTGTACTTTTTTGGCAATAAACTGAAATCCTTAGGACATAAAATTAGCAGGCCTTTTTAAAAAAATGAAGAACCACACACTTTTAAAGTGGAGAAGAAAATGTCAAGAATCCTAAGGTTTATGGTAATTAAACAAAAGGAAGAAAAAGTAGAAACAATTACAAATTAATTAGTTACTGCATCATAATAATTGATTCTGTTTTACTTAACTATAAAATAACTGAATAATATATTTGAAATACATATATGATGATAGTAATAAATGCATCAGACATGAAACTTATTTTTCCTCCTAAGTTTGAATTTCAGTTCAGCTTTTTTTGCTTTGCCAAAAGAACAAATGTCTTTCCAGTACTTTTATAGAAAATTGTCTACTTATACATTATGGTTCATTTTTCCTGTGATTTTTCTAGATGGAAGAGCTTACCTCTTTTCTTTCCTACTGTCCCTGACTGATAGCTATTAACTGTGCTGCATGTATATCCAAATTGTACCTATATTCACTCATGTATTTTAAATAACTAGTTTAAATTGCAATGAAATTGTACCCTGTGTTTTGCATTCATTTGAGTGAACCCTGCCACCGAAGCCTCAATACTTATTCAACGCTTAATAGTGAATTACTTATAGCTATCCTACTCAAGTGAGATCATGTAAATCCTCCTTTCATTTTGAGAATTGTAGGTTTTGAATACAGAAAACATTTTCATAATACCTATATTATGACAGTGTTATGGTTCTGACATTGTTTTCACTAAAACTTGCCACTTAAGGAATTTAGATATGAATCATTTTAAAATCTCCCTAGGTGCAGCAGCTATGTGTTTGCTAGGTGTAGATGATAAGCTTTTGCTTTATTGTTTAGTTTTAATATTAAAGCTTGTTTTTATATCTACTTTTTTTCCTCTTGCATTTTTTTCAAATTTTACATAAATATATTGCTCCTATAACAAGTTATTTTTAATTGAATTTGAAATCATTGCTGTACTATGGAGAAACTGAAAATTTTCTATTATAAAACTTTGGCCCTGGCTTATGTGGCTCAATTGGTTGGAGCATCATTCCCTACACTAGAAGGTAGTGGGTTAGATTCTTGGTAAGAGCACATACCCAGGTTGAGGGGGTGTGTGGGAGGCAATAGATGTTTCTCACATCCATGTTTCTCTCTCCCTGTCTCTGAGATCAATAAAAAACAAATATGCATCACACATTAGGTTTATCAGACACAGACTTTCAAATTGGTATGTTTTTTATGTTCAAGAAAATTAGATAAAAAGGAGGAGAATTGCATCAGAGTACTGGAATCTAAAAAAGAGAACAAATGGAAATAATCCTATATGATAAAAGCCTACTATGCAAATCAACTGAACAGTGGACCAACTGGTCGTTATGACATGCACTGGCCACCAGGGCAGAGACTCAACACAGGAGTTGCCCTAGCCCACAGACCCCAGGCGAGCCAAGGTGGGGGCCCGCCAGTCACCCAACCAGTCGCCCCGCAGAAGGAAGCTACCAGTGGTGGTAGCAGAGGGTGGGGCCAGTGAACAAGTGGCACTAGGCTCGCCAAAGCAGGTTCCAGAGGGGGCCCCCCTGCCCCAATCACCCTGCCTGTCACCCCACAGATCATCCCTGATCTCCAGCCAGGCCGTAGGGACCCTACCCATGCATGAATTTCTAGTAGAATTATAAAGTAATAATAGGCCTCTAGTAGAATTATAAAGTAATAATAATTGAAATGAAGAACTAAATAGATTGGCTTAACAACAAATTAGACATAATAGAAGAAAAAAATAGTGAACTGGAAGATTAGTAGAAAAGGACTTAATGAAAACAGATATGAAAGTTTAGAAAATATAGACGAAGGTGTGAGAGGCATATGGGACTCTGTGAAAAGGTTTCCCATATGTGTAGTTGAAGTCCCAGAAGGAAAAGTGAGAGGGAATATGGAGGGGCAAAAGCAATATTTTAAAAGATACAGGCTAAGAGTTTCCCCAAACTATTTGTTTATTTAGAGCAGTGGTTCTCAACCTTTTTAATGCCGAGACCTTTAATTCAGTTCCTCATGTTGTGGTGATCCCCAACCATAAAATTATTTTTGTTGCTACTTCATAACTGTAATTTTGCTACTGTTATGAATCATAAATGTAAATATCTGTGTTTTCCTATGGTCTTAGGTGACCCTGCAAGCAAATTTCATGCACCGGGCCTCTAGTATATATATTTAAGATGTTCTTTACAAAATAACAAATTATTTTTTCTATAATAATTTCTTGTGCCTGAAATTAATACTGTTATAGGAAAGTGTGAATTGTAGTCTGAATAGGAATGGATATATATATATATATATATATATATATATATATTGGAAACTAAGCACACTATTTTCTTAATAGTTGGTTTTCTGAATAGATTGACTCGGATAATATTGATAGCATCAGTTCATTGCTAACTGAATACACCTTAAAATATTTTTTAAGGTCAATGAGATTGAATTTAATTTTGCATTATTAATTTTTTCTTCTTAGGCAGTTACATAGATTTTTTACCTGCTATAATGGTTTGAGACTGTATATTTTAGACTTAAAAAATATCTTTCTTGCAACAGTGGAATGAGTTTAATCTAAGGTTTTATAGTCAATCTCTTAATGTATACCTAGACGAATATCTCCTTGTGTATATATTATCAGTATAGAAAGCATTTTATATTTGCAGGATACCAACCTGCAAATTTATGTGTATTTGATGATTTTCAAAATTATTTTCTTAGGAAACATAACTTTTGAAACAATGATGGAAATTCTCCGAGATAAACCAAGTGGCATTAATATGGAGGGAGAATTCCTGACCACTGCAAGCATGGTTTCTATTTTACCTCAAGATTCCAACTTTCCTTGCATTCACTTCTTCACTGGGACTCCTGATCCTGAGAGGTAAATCACAAAATACTATAAACCAGCAAGAGGTCATGGGGTAGGGTAGAATCTTTAGTCTGTTGATGATTTTGTCAGGCTTTCCCCCCCCCCGCCCCAAATAAAATACACAAATACAAAAATAATTTTTGGATGCATATCAGTTCAAGTTTTCATCCATCATTTCTGTATGTGCATAAATGCCATAACTGTCCTCATTTTTATTTATTTTAAAAAATATTTTTTATTGATTTTTTACAGAGAGGAAAGGAGAGAGATAGAGAGATAGAAACATCGATGAGAGAGAAACATCGACCAGCTGCCTCTTGCACACCTCCTATCGGGGATGTGCTCGCAACCAAGGTACATGCCCTTGACCGGAATCGAACCCGGGACCTTTCAGTCCACAGACCGACGCTCTACCACTGAGCCAAACCGGTTTCGGCTGTCCTCATTTTTAAAAAATATATTTTTTTATTGATTTTTTTTACAGAGAGGAAGGGGAGGGATAGAGAGCTAGAAACATCGATGAGAGAGAAACATTGATCAGCTGCCTCCTGCACACCCCCCATTGGTGATGTACCCACAACCCAGGTACATGCCTTTGACCGGAATTGAACCTGGGACCCTTGAATCCGCAGACCAATGCTCTATCCACTGAGCCAAACAGGTTTTGGCACTGTCCTCATTTTTGTTGGAAAAAATGTTAATAATTTCTTGTAGGCAGTTATCCCTGCATCCTCTTTTCCCAAGTATATTTAACATTGTCAAGAAAAGAAAAAAGGTTTTCTTATGCAGATTTCAGTATTATAATATTAGATGATTAAGAGTTAATAAAAAAGTAAATGGATTTAGATGGTTCCTTATGAACTCGTATCTAGAAAATACATTTATGTAAAACTTAAAATATCAACAGTTCAAGTTTAGTAGTATTTATATAGATTATCTTGATTTAAGTCATTAGTATCTCTCACAAAACTTAATACAAATTACATTAAGAAGTGATCTTATATTGTTACAGTCTTTCAAATTATTAAAGACTAGGCGAGGAGGCGCCCTGCCTCTCATCATGTAAGGAGGTGCCCCGCAGGGGAACGGGACCGTGCCTGACCCCCGTAGCACTGGCTGCTGCACTGTGTCTGTTGGGGTGGGGGCAGGAGCTCCTGTGTGTTGTGTCTCTGTCCCACCCCCAGCCCCAGCTTCCCTGAGGTCACTGGGGCTGGGGGTGGCACGCAGTTCCCTCCCCCCCATCTGCACGCAGCTCCTCCTGAGCAGTCGTGATGCAGCCTCCTCCTGAGCAGTTGGGGCGGCTGGCTAATTAGCATTATATATATATATATATATATATATATATATATATATATATATATATATATACACACACACACACACACACACCCTCTCTCTCTCTCTCTTTCTCTCTCTCTAAATATATATAGATATAGATATAGATATAGATATTTTCAAGAAAAATCTGTGAATCCCTTATTAATACTGCTGCTAATTTTCATCCAAAATCTTAATCCTCAATCTGTAACATTGAGAATAGTTCTTACCCTCTGATGAACTATAATTTTACTTGACACTGTTTACATGCTAGGCATTTTGTTAAATTTATGGGAATACACAGCTAAATAAACCTTGGTCCTCTGCCCTAAAGGAGATCCCAATATACCAGGGAAGACAGCACGGCTGCAACTCATATGACGGGAACTCATTAGTATGTAACAAGTTAATAGAAACATCTAACTAGAGGGAACCTTACAAGATTTAGAATAATGATGAGTATTTTAAAATTCCCCATATGACAATGCAATAAAATACTTTTTCTTCTAGATCTGTCTTTAAGCCTTTCATATTTGTGCCAAATATTTCACAACTACTGGACACCAGTTCACCAACATTTGAAGTTGAAGACCCAGTTAAAAAGAAGCCACATTTTAAGACTAAACTTGACAGAAGACACCCACTCTACCAAGAGCATCAACAGGCATTGAAAGTAATAGATAAGAAGGAGGTATGATTAGATTATGTTCTATGTTTATCATTACAAATAGTTTAAAATATGAATCAAACCATATTAAAATCAATATTTTTATTGATTTCAGAGAGGAAGGGAGATGGAGAGGGAGAAAACTCCAATGGTGAGAATTGTTGATTGGTTGCCTCCTTCATGCCCCCCACTGGGGATTGAGCCCACAACCTGGGCATGTGCCCTGACCAGGTATGCAAACCATGACCTCCTGGTCCATGGCTCAACCACTGAGCCACATCAGCTGGACAACCAATTCATATTTTGAGTTTTAGTTTTCTTTCCCTCCTTAATATACAAACATGTTTAAAAATAGTTTATTTGCTTTGACTGTGGTAGAGCTTTATTTTGTATCTTTGGTTAAAAATAATGATTAAAAATATCTTGTGAATCCTTAAGAGAGATGTAGGATATTAAGCATAATATCAATAGTTACTTGTTACTGAGCACTATTATACACCAAGCACCATAGTACTAATATTATATGGAATATTTCATTTAACCTTCACAGCCTCTTTGTGAGATAGGTACTATTATTATCTCCATTTTACTGATAGGAATCTAAGATTTAAAAAGAGTTTAGTAGCTTGATTATTATATACCTCACACCCAAAATTACAAAGCCACTGGAGGGCAGTTAACCTGGACTCTTATATAATGTTCTTAAGCATACAGATTCAGATTAATTTTAATTGAAAGTGCTTTAAGACCTCGTCGACTTAAAATAATCATAATTAATTGGAGCTTTTAAAAAACAATAAATGCTTATTATTTTAACATGTAAGCATTATAGAAGATTAACATATCACCAGAATCTTATCTTCAGAAATAAGCAGATATATTTTTTGGGGGCAGATAGACAGATGGATAGATTAATAATTTTATATCCATACCTCTTCTGCCCTCTTCTCTCTCTTCCTGAGATTAAAAAAAAAAAAAAAAGAAATTAGAAGGAAATGGAAGGGCTACGTAAAGGCTTTTAACATATTCCATGCTATGAAGGAAAAGATTGGCCATTTTATACATTTTTCTCACCTGTTTCCACCAACTCCTCATTTTTATTGCCTAACCTATACTTGCCTATAATTTATCAAGGTATATGTATTGATATTGTATCTACATTAAATGAATTAAATGCGTTTTCCTTTTATTTTTTACTTTGTCTGTACCATGTTTGCAGAGTTGCCATGCCGCTCCATGACATCCCCACCTTGCTTAGGCTTAAAGCAGAAACTCCTATTTGCTTTATCTGGGCCCAGTTTGTTTTCACTTCTGACCTACAGAGTAAACACTTTTTTGTAGCTTGGTGGCACGGAGTGAAAGGCATGCATTTTGTTCTAGGAGCCCACTGTGTGCTAACGAGGGCCCAGTCCACTGGGCCAGAGGTGTCTGTCATCCACTCCCTGGGCCTCGTTCACTGTCCAGACTCAGCACAACACTGTGAAATGTGATGAGGCCTCTGGTTTTTCTGGCCTCTGCCTCAGTTCCTCAGTGATATGTTTCAAGAGCATCTGCTCTGGAGGTGTTTCCCCTCACTCCTCCTTCCCAGCAGCCTCCTCATTGCCCAAACCGCTTTTGTTAGTTTTCTAGAGTTGTCAGCTTCTGTTCCCCTCAATACTGTTCTGAGTTTTGTAGACTTACTAAATGTTTGATAAACTAAATTAAATTGCTGATTGATAATTTCCCAAGTAATACTGAAATAATATTTTAAAGGCTGTTGCTATTTTAGGCTTTATATTTAATGGGCATGAAATAGTGATTAACAAAAAAAGTAGTGGAAAGATAATAGAATTTGAAGGTAGAAGTGACAGAGTTGGGTTCTAGTCCCGGCTTTACAAATAACTACTTCTGTGTCTTAGGGAAAGTCAATCCTACTTGCAGTTTTAATTTACATTTCTTGACTACTATGAGGTTGAAATTCCCATACATAATTAATACCAGATTTTCAATAGTCCTATTATTTGTCTTTTAGGTTTCTTGCTTATAGACTAATCCTACATAATTATTCTTGTTTTTTCTACTAAAAATAACTAACAATTTGGGGTTAATAAAATAACTCGACCTTTAGAACAATGATTTTCTCTGAAAGAATTTTATTTCTTATATATCTAAAGAATAGGAGGAAGGAAACCAAACAAGAAGTAGAAACCAAAATGAACAAACCTTGCTTATAGAGGTTGGTTAGAATTTGGTTAGACTTGTGTGTGTTCATTTATTGTTATTTTTAATTGTTCAGGAAAAATCCGAAACAATGTTGGAGAACATGAGAAGTCTGGAGAAAGAACTATTCAAAGAGATGGAATCAATCCTTCAAAACAAGCATCTTGATGTGGATAAAATTGTTAATCTTTTTCCTCAGTGTGCAAAAGATGAAATTCAAATTTATAAGTTAAATATTAGTTCTAAATGATCATCTATCAGTGTTTCCCAAAGTATGGTACGCGTACCCCCAGGGGTACGGGAAGAGTTTGGTGGGGGTACGCGTTGCACCAGAGTTTGGTGGGGATATGCACTGCACCGTGCTTAGCTGCGCCTAATTCTACGTTCTCATGAGTACGAGGGGTACTCAGCGTTACGAAAATTATAGAAGGGGTACACATATGTCAAAAGTTGGGAAACACTGAAGATTCTAAATGGTCAACAATCTTCCTCAAAGTCAGAATCAATCACTGTGGTAAATGATATGAACCTAGTTTGAGTAGATATGATTATTCTTTAATATCATTCAAGTGATAGCTTGACTATTAAAACTGCATATAATTGCTGAAATAACAAGAAAATAACATTGAAATTAGACACATATATTATGGGATAGCCAGTTGTTACATCAGGTACTGACCCATGTTATTTTTTTTTGTAGCTACAATAACTTTTTTCAAATAACATATTCAATTCTTCATAAAGCATGAAACATTAAAATAATTAATGGATTTAAGTTTATTAAAATTATGTATTGTCTTCAATTGTAAGAAATAAGTTTTTTCTTTAATAATGAAAAATATTGTCTTAGCAAAGTTTTGTGTGTTTTATGTTAACTAGTTTTAACAAAGTGTTCCAGATTTGCACATTGAGTTTTATTATAGTGTACTAGAGGCCCAGTGCACGAAATTTGGGTGGTCTCTCAGCCCAGCCTGCACCCTCTTACAGTCCGGAACACCCTGTGAGCGGGCCTAAGCCAGCAGTTGGACATCCCTCTCACAGTCCTGGAGCCCTTGCTCCTTACTGCCTGCCTCCTCACTGCTGCTTAGTGCTGCTGCAGAGTCAGTAGAGCACATGTGTCAAACACAAGGCCCGCGGGCCAAATACGTCCCTCCAGGCCTTGCAATGTGGCCCGCACCGCGCTGTCATCACTGCACTCCGCTGCGTTTCCATCACAATGACAGTTTATGACTGTTCAGTAAACCGTTCGGCCCGCGATTTAGGCTGGATTTTAGATTTTGGCCCCTTCTCTGATTGAGTTCGACACCCCTACAGTAGAGGCTCCCGCCACCATCACCGCCACTGCGCTCGCTAGCTGTGAACCTGGCTTCTAGCTGAGTGGCCCTCCCCCTGTGAGAATGCACTGACCACTAGGGGGCAGCTCCTGCATTGAGCATCTGCCCCCCAGTGGTCAGTGTGCATCATAGTGACCGGTCGTTCTGCCATAATGGTTGCTTAGGCTTTTATTATATAGATTCATTCTGAAAATGTGCTTTTATTAAACTCACTTATGCCCTTTGTCAAGACTTGGATGACCAGTGAACCCTTAGCTATAATTATGTAGCATTTTTTGGCCCTAACCCTTTATAGGATTTCATGTTAATATTTTAGAAGAGTTTGTGTGGGAGATTAGGAAATGGGATAGGAGATACCATTTCTGTGTCTCAAATTTCTCTCATCCTTTACATCTTCTACTCTGTGAAAACAAAAATAGGAAAGAGATAGAATGAAATAGAATTATCAGTGTATTATGAACATTTTAATGTATAATATATTGTGGACATTACAAGTGAGTAATATCTCTGCCCAAAATTTATAAAACTTTGTTAAAATTACATTGATTTTAATATATTTTATTGATTTTTTTACAGAGAGGAAGGGAGAGGGATAGAGAGCTAGAAACATCGATGAGAGAGAAACATCGACCAGCTGCCTCTTGCACACCTCCTACCGGGGATGTGCCTGCAACCAATGTACATGCCCTTGACCGGAATCGAACCCGGGACCCTTCAGTTCGCAGACCGACGCTCTACCACTGAGCCAAACCGGTTTTGGCTAAAATTACATTGATTTTAATTCTTGGGGGGAAGTGGGTGTGGAGGGTGCAAGAAGAGATTGGAAAAAATCTTGCACCTATGGATGAGGACAGTTGGGGGGTGGTAAGGGCATGGGGTGGTGTGGGAACCAGGTGAGGGGAACTATGGGGGGGAAAAAGAGGAAAGTCTATAATAATCTGAACAATAAAGATTTATTTTAAAAAATTACATTGAGATTACCAGGTAAGGGTCAAGGTTGTAAATATCTATAATAATAAAAGCATAATATGCTAATTAGACCACATGTCCTTCCAGATGACCTGGAATAAGCCGGGGTTGTGAGGGAAGCCCAGGTCCTGGGTGCCTGCTGGTGGCCTGAGGGTAGCCGGTGCTGGCAGCCGGCGGAAGGAAGGCCTACTCTTGCATGAATTTCATGCATCAGGCCTCTAGTAAACAATAGAAAAACCCAACTCAAAATAACATTGTATATTGGTTTCTAGAAATGTCCATTTTAGGATTTTGATTATATCATCATATTTATCAGTCACTATCATTGCAACGAGGATTGTTACTGAAGTAGTGGACCATTATATATAAAGAGTACCCAGGAAAATATTATTTAAAAGTTTTCTCATAAAAACCACAATCTGCCTGATATTGCTCTTGTTTAATATTATACAAGGCTGCCATTAAAAAAGAAATGTAGCTATCTCATGTTCTCAGTTAATTGTTTGCCTTAAGTGTGATTCAGTGTTAGATTCTCCCTAAATCATGAAGACCATTGGCCAAACCCCGTATATTTCCTCCCTTTTTCTTTTTTTTTCTTTTTCTTTTTTAATATATTTTATTGATTTTGTACAGAGAGGAAGGGAGAGAGATAGAGAGCTAGAAACATCGATGAGAGAGAGTCATCGATCAGCTGCCTCTTGCACACCCCCTACTGGGGATATTCCTGCAACCAAGGTACATGCCCTCGACCGGAATCAAACCCGGGACCCTTCAGTCCCCAAGCCGACGCTCTATCCATTGAGCCAAACCGGTTTCGGCCCTTTCTCTTTTTTAAAAATATATATTTTATTGATTTTTTAATAGAGAGGAAGGGAGAGGGAGAGAGAGTTAGAAATATCGATGAGAGAGAAACATTGATCAGCTGTCTCCTGCACATCTCCTACTGGGGATGTGCCCACAACCAAGGTACATGCCCTTGATTGGAATCGAACCCGGGACCCTTCCGTCCACAGGCCAACGCTCTATCCACTGAGCCAAACTGATCAGAGCCCTTTCTCTTTTTCAGTATATGAGGAACTAAGAGTAAGCAGTACATTGATTTTTTTCAGGGACACATACTTTTAATCTTAATTCTCTAAGGCTAGCACATTTTCACTTTATCTTTTGACACCACCTGTGACTAAACTAGCACCATCTCTCACCTGGACAACTGCAGTTAACTTAATTCTTTATCTCCAAACACAAGAATCACTGCAGCCAAAGGGATCTGTTAAAATGATAAATTTAATCAAGAATTTCCCTCCTAAAACTAAAGATCTTGTTTTTTAGAGCAGTTTTAGGTTTACAGCAAAAGTACAGAGTTCCTATATCCTCATGTTCCATTCCGACCTACCACCCCACTGCCCCACACCAGTGTAGTAGGATTGTTATAATTGATGAACCTCCATTAACACATCATTATCACCCAAATCCATAGTGTACATTAGGGTTCAGTTATTGTACTTTCTATGGGCTTGGACAAATGTGTGATGACATGTGTCCACAATTATACTATCATATGGAGCAGTTTCACTGCTCTAAAAATCCTCTGTGCTACACCTATTCATCCCTCCCTCCCCTTAACCCCTGGCAACCACAGGTCTTATTGTCTCCACTTTTGCCTTTGCCAGAATATCATATAGTTAGAATCATACAGCATCTTTGCCATGCCTACCAGTTTTTTGTTTTTTTTTTAATCTTTACCTGAGGACATGCTGAGAGAGAGAGAGAGAGAGAGAGAGAGAGAGAGAGAGAGAGAGAGAGAGAGAGAGAGAGAGAGAGAGAAATATTGAGTGAGAGAGAAACATTGATTGGTTGCCTTCCATACATGCCCCAACTAGGGAACAAACCCAAAACTCAGACATGTGCCCTGACTGGGAATTTAACTGGCAACTTTTCAGAGCATAGGGTGATGATGCGCAAACAACAGCTAACTAAGCAACTCTAGCCAGCTGCCTACCAGTCTTGATGTGGCTTCTTTTTGAAATCCTTAGTTGAAGGACGTCAGCTAGATTTCAGGTGGTTTTAAATGATGGCTGTTTTGCAGATTAGTTAAAATTCTGATGTGGTTGTGGGAGGATTCTTGTATTGCATTTACCAAAGCCACCATCTTGACTGGAAGCCACTGTTGTTTCTTAAAATTTCTGCAATGCTGCTTTTTCAATACTTGAATGTGCCCAGTCTCGATATCATGTCTGTACTCTCTGCTTCCACCATTCATTTCATTTGCTCCTTTTTATGTAAGTAGTTCTTTTTATCTTTTAGAGTTTCGCTGAAACATGATTTTCTCAGGCAAGTTTTTCCTACTCCATACCAGGTCAGGTTTCTTGTTAAATATACTCAGAGCCACATGTGATCCTGATCATAAATGTTATGTATTTAACATCTGTTTCCCACAGTAAAATAGAAGCTTTATGAGGATAGGAACCATATTTTTCCCCATAGTTGCATGTTCAGTGTTCATTATTCTGTCTGCACAAGTTTTTGTTAAATGAACATTCAAGTACTAATGGAAATTTATACAGTCCTCTATCTGTAAAGTTAAGAAAATTAGGTAGACAATCAATCTATACAACTTGGTAGTCTTTGATAAGTCTCAGGTCAACCTGTTGCCTTTTTCCATATTCAAAATGGGAATAAGGACTCCCCAAATAAAGATACGGATTACTATAAAGTTATGTAAATTAGTTTATAAAAACAATTTAGGACACTTTCAATAAATCCAGTGTGGTATTTGGGCTTTGGTGGGTAATTAATGCTTTGTAGTATATTTTAGAAAACTTAAGATTTTCTTAAATTTCATGTGTTTCTTAAAAATAAAATATGTAGTAGCTAAGATTTAGCTTTTTGTTTGGGTCAACCCTTAAATGATGTTTATTTATAATTATGTGATAAATCAAGTAAATAATTAATAAACTGAGTATTTTAGAGAAAGCTCATTTGCTCTTTGATGAAAACTTAATTTACATATTAATCTTCAATAAAAATTTTTTCCCTAGAAATAATTATGCAGTCTAGAATTTTGTAAAATTATTGCCTACTTATAAAACTTGCCAAAAACAGGTACTACAGAGTGAATGTTTTCTCTTTTTAATTACTTCCAGCTTTTATCATACCACATGTAGAAATTGGTCATCCTATCTTTTCCTGAAGAATGGTGATAACATTTCTGATCCTGAGCTGTGTTTCTAACCATCATTCATCATTTGACTATTTATGTCCAGTGGTCTAAAGTAATATAGTATTTTTCATAATATGAAATATGAAGAGACAAAACCTAAGAGCTATATTCTGCTGCATAGGAAACATGTTAAATAATAAATTTACATTTTTCTTTGGAAACTTACCATTAATCGCTATTCTGAAAATGCCAAGTACACTTGACCTTATTCTAAAAATCTTGAAATTTAAGCACAAGCTAGTCATGGAATTAATCAC